AGGATGCCCATTGGTCCCCCTGGGTGGGTCCTGGGATTACTGGGGCTGCTCCCTGCGAGGGCCAGGGTAGTTTTGGGGGGTGTGAAGCTGGGCCATGGGTGGCAAGGCCTGTGGCAGGGAGAGCTGCACAGTCAGGGTGCTGCTCTCAGGCCGACTTCCTGCCACAAGGCTTGTCCAGGGTGCCTGCAGCTTTAAGAGGGGCCAGGAGACAGGAACTATAGAGTTGTGATTAGTATGGATGGAGTGTCCACCCGGAGATGTTATTTTCTGGAGGTCTCTTCTTCCAAAAAAACAAACAAACAAAAAAAAACCTCCTCCTCCCCATTCACTCATGCCTTTTTCTGAAAGAGCCCTTTCGGAAAAAGGCTTCTTCCTCGTAGAAAGAGGATTACCAATGCTGGAAAACCCGCTCTGTTCTTTTGCTTTACTTTTGAAAGAACACAATAGCAGTGTGGACATACCTCGAGTTTTGTCAGAAAAATGGCCGTTTTTCCGACAAAACTCTGTAGTGTAGACATACCCCCAGCTGGGTGTTTCAGAGATATGGAGTTATTACAGATTTAGTGTGGAACACGTTTCCACAATGTCCTTTGGATTTGTGGCAATGAGGGCTTTGAGTGGACAATGTCTCGGTGCTGTAACCTGGAATATGAGGAGATTTGAAGATTACTGTGAAGAGTGTCTCGGATCTGTGCCTGGACTATAAGGTGTTAGGAGACTTCTGGTTTAAATTTTCTAGACCTGTAATTGACATAACCGTCACTGGCATGTGATGTGCTCCAAGTTTCCGTTTCAATGGGGTTTCATATTTGTGACTGGACTAGGAGGAAATGTTAGGAACCTGATGGAAAGTGTCCCAGAGGTCCACTGATGTATGAATTTGTTTGAGGATTTCCACTGAGACTGTCTCCAACTTGAGATTTGCAGCTCTCCACATATCTGAATGAGGGAGTCAGGGCTGATCCTGTGGCATTGTGAGTGCAGAAGGTGGGGGCCCCAAAGACCTTAAATACCTTGCCTTTATAGGCTCTGCTTACAAACAAACAAACAAACAAACAAACAAACAAACAAAAAATATCAGGAAAAGGGGACCTGGCCCAGAAGATAGTTAAGGTTCTGTCTGCCACAGCAGCTCCACATCCCTCTAAAGAAGCAGCAAGAAAGGGGGGAATGTGTGATAAGGTCAGGCCAGATGGCTACAGGAGACTGATAGAAGACATGTATGGGTAGAAGCCTAGATGAAATAGGTTTCTTTTCCCCAGGCAAGATAAAAAGGGCTAATTCAGAATAATTAGGAACTTGTCAGAATCAGTTAAGGCAGGCAGGTCAATTGAGACATCTGATACTGGAATTGGGAGTCATCAAGGAGTCCAAGAATGAATAGTTCAGCCCGGTTGTGTTGGTGCCTAAGCCCAATGGCACCACTAGGTTCTGTAATGGTTTCTGACAGCTGAATGAGCTTACTCCATACCTCGCATCAATGAGTTAGTTGACCACTTGGGAAATGACATGTTTCTAACCACCATTTAACAAAGTACATTTGTAGAGCCGCTTGGTCTGGCAGGCAAAACAAAAAAAATGCGTTTTCTACACTGAGGGACTGTTCCAGTAAATTGTTCTCCTTTTGGATGGCATGGGGCTCCTGCCTCCTTTCAAAGTCTCATGGACAAGCACCTGCATCCCATACGAGTTATGCAGCTGCATACCAGGATGACCTAATTATCCATACCCCCACTGGGAGACTCACTTGGAAAAGGTGGAAGCAGTAATTAATGTCAGAGGGCTTATTTCTTCACCCTCCCACTTTCCATGTCCTTCTCACACTACCAGGGTATGTCTACACTCCCCTGCTAGTTCGAACTAGCGGGGTAGTGTAGACATACCCCCCCGAGAACAGCAATACCCTAAGGCCAAAGCTACAAACAATTTAATGTTGGTTGGAGTTTGCTTTCCTTTTCCCCTATTTTTTACCCTACTCACTTCCTGTTTCTTGCCTTGATTGGGGTAGAAGCGGCAGTAGGAGAAAATTGAGTCTCATCTGTGTGTGGTAGAATTGTTATATGGTATCCAAATAAGTCCTTGTTGATCTAGCGTTGATCTAGAGTTGTTAGCAAATATGTGTAATAACACATATTCAAATTTCTTCTTCTGTTCATGAAAGATGCAACTTCGTGGGCATCCCAATACATCCTTTGATTTCTGTAAGTGAGTAATACAGCCTAGTGCTATGTCTCCCCTAAATTATTCCTGCACTCAAATCTTTTGCAAACCCACAAATGGATGGGAAGAAAATCAGGGTTAGGAGCATTAAATATTGAGAAATCAAACAATATTTAATGTCGTTATGTTAGTTTACTTTAAGAATGACACAGAGACTCTCTCCTTAAAAAAAAAAAGGAAACTTTATTGCAAATTGTACGCCTTCTTTGGATCCTTCAATATTATTTCAAGCTATTTTAAAAGGACAGTGTTCAGAAAATTTAAAAAATTCTGAGTTTGGTACTTCAACTTAAAATTTAAAACATTGCCTACATAATTAATGAAAATAGCTTGATGGTTTTATTATGTAAAACAATGGAAATTGGTAATGAGGCACAGATTGGAACTAACTACTATCCAAGCATAGCCTTTGCAGAATTGTATGGAAATATTTAAATGTAGGACTAGATTCTGATTTCATGTACATTAGTGCAAATCTGGAATGATTCCACTGCTTTCACTATAATCTCCCTAGATGTACACTAGTTTATGGAGATCAGAATCTAAGTCACCGTCTTTCTAAGAATACACTAACAACAATGGTATTCTCATTTTATAGGTTCCATAATGCAAATTTTCTCACTAGCACTTTATTCATATAAGCCCTGATTTTGCAACTAGATCTGCATAAGGCCCTAATACAGTCAACTGATCTCCACATAGGAGGCAAGGATTCCTTCATAGATACAGATACATGGTGGCCAAGCTCTCCCTAAAATTCTGTTGGAACATTCAAGTTTAACAGAAGGCAGAATTTAGCTCAGTAGCTTCTTTGCAACGGTGACAAAGTTTGTTGCTGTGCAACTGTTTTCCAATCACAGATATGCATATTATGGACAGCAAAACTAGCATCTACTTTGTGAAGCTAAAACCAGTAACCCGTAGTACTCAACATCAGATTCAGGACATCACCCATTGAAAGTTGCTTTTGTCATACATATAGGCAGGGTCAGGAAACAACATAACAATTGTTGAGCATTTGCACTTCCCATCAGGTGATCCACCCTTGGTTACACCGGTACAATGCTACTGACCTGAGGTGGGTTACACCAGTGTACACTACAGAATAGTGTGAACAGGAGCTATAGCTAGAAAGGTAAGATCCTACAAATCTAAAAGAGGAAAAGGAGAAAACAATAGTGGCTCTGGAATAGGTGACTAAAGTGAAGAGAGACAACGAAGGAGACTCCTCTTCACAGATTAAAGAAAAATTGTAGTTTCTATAATTGGGGAAAATGAAAAAGACTACTCCTTTCATGAACTCAGGGAACAAAAATCACAGCATGGGAGCAGGAAGGAGCCAGATCTGTGCCTGCCCTTCCTTTTCCATAGGTTTGCAGAACATAGCAGCTGGGTAGAGATAATATAATGTGCTCATTCCCTGTGCACTTGAGAAGGGTTAGTGTGTGCACACGTGACACAGACTAACTGTCAGGAATATCTGATAGATGTTAGCTTGGATAGCTGATAAAATCTAGAAGGGGAGAAGTGGCTAGCAGCTGGCTAGTCACTCTGTAGCTTATTCAATTGCCAGTGACTATATAACAGTACTGTCCTAAATGGGGACTTTCACAGGGCACAAATGGGGATTAGGCATCAGCTCCCATTGTGGTTTCAAACTGCCATTTGTGCCTTTCAAAAGTCTTCTGGACAATGTTTGGAACTAAAATATCCCATGTTCTTCACAGGATGCTACACTGAACAAGATATGTAAATTCAATATAGCGATTTATTGAAAAATCATAGCTTTTAAAAAGGTAAAAAATTCCAAAACAAATAGACACTGAGCACCTCCTTTTTGATTTGGCACAATCACAATCACGGTTGCAGAATATAAAGACTTCTACATGAGATTGTTAGAACTATAATACAAGTAATATATTTTAACTTGTTGAATTATGGCCTATTTTAGCATGCAACCTTGAAAGTGGATCCATAATTGTAGGTCTGACTTTAAAGATTCTAGAACTGTGGGATTATTTTTAGCCATTTTTTTAAAAATGGAGCATATTTTCTTCTAGCATAATTCCACTGAGTTCAGTGGAGAGATACCAGCAGTATGGCGCATTAGACATTTGATGCTGGTTTACATTGTGTTGTAGAAAACAACTCAAGTGTCCAGCTGGAGCTAAAGTTACTCAGACCCTCAGAAGATCAGACCCATTAATCTGACTGGAAGTTGACATGATAGACCAGTGGTCCCCAACCTTTTGAGGTTGTTGGGCGCCAGAGGGCGTGGCCATTCACCCGCCGGGCGCCAGGGGGCGGGGACCCTTGCCCGCCCGGGGGGGGGCGGCCCCCCCCAGCC